TTTAAGGTTTTGGAGCTTAGGGTTTAGGGTTCAGGGGTTGAGGGTTCAGGGGCTTAGGCTCAGGGGCTTCAGGTTTAGGGCCACCCTGGAGCTCAAAACCAAACAAATACTGTAGGAGACTGAAGAATCCGAACAGGGTTTCGGGGGGTATATTATATCATATTACACCATAAGTATAGTAAGGAGCTGCCCCAAAAAATAGTATGGGTAACTATTCAGGCCCCTATAAAAACCCTAAAGCCTAAACCCTAAACCCTAAACCCTAAACCCTAAACCCTATAAAAAACGACCCGCACCATGAGCCCTGAACTCGGCCACGCCTCAGTGAGGCGGTACTCTTGATTGCCAGACAGGGCATCGACAGCCATGATGCCTTTCAAGTGAGGGTTTAGGGTTTAGGGTTTAGGGTTTAGGGTTTAGGGACTTTCAAGGCTTGCTGATTCTGCGCTCTCAGGGCTTTTTCTTTTTGTTTAACCGGGCCCTTTTTCCAGCTGCACCAGAAAAGTCCATGAGACTAGGCCTCAGGGTTTGGGCTTTAGGGTTTAGATATTTCGCCAATGTATGATGGAGACCGGCAAAATGGGAGTCCGGTGCTCAATAAGCAGGCACACACTGAGCTCTTTTAAAGAGATAAGTTTGTTTAAGTCTGGTGTTCACGTCACACTAATAAGGCAAGCATATTACTGCCTACTTCCTATTACCTATTACTATTGTAACTTCATTGAACAGAGGTCTTGTTTATACAGGGTCTAGGATTTAGCGCTTTGGGTTTCGCCAGTGTCTAGGGCCTAGGGCTTGAGGATGTTTGGCAGTCAGGATGCACTTACAAAGATGTCTGGCCTAGACGAAAACTACAGTCTACAGTGAGAGTTGTCCATAACACCCCTCATTAAAGCACGCATGGCAAAATTTATGTGAGAATTGTCCATAGCACCCCTCATTAAAGCGCGCATAGCAAAATCTATATCCGGTATAGAAGCCTGAAGTAACTTGACTTGGGGTTTTTGGTTTCCTTCTTGCTGTTACTACATTCAGCAGCACTGCAGCTGCGTACTACTACTACTACTACTACGACGACGACTACTACTACTACTACTACGACCACTACCCTAAACCCTACACCCTAAGCCCTAACCCTAAACCGCCCCTGAACCCTGCCTAGAACACCTCCTCACTGCATTACTATAAAGACACATAAACAACCTTTTAATTAAAAGCATCCAATAAACATCCTATATGAAACTAATGACCTAAACCCTAAACCCTAAACCCTACACCCAAAACCCTAAAACCTAAACCCTACACCCTAAAACCCTCAAAACCTAAACCCTGAAACCCTACACCCTAAACCCTCAAACCCTCAAACCCTACACCCTAAACCCTAAACCCTAAAACCCTAAAACCTAAACCCTCAACCCTCAACCCTAAACCCTAAACCCTCAACCCTAAACCCTAAACCCTAAACCCTGATTCCTTAAGGGGTTTTGGGAGTCTCTGGGTTCCTCGCACTGGCGCCCAAGGCGG